CGGCGGTTTTCTCAAGACTTGCGCACGCCACGTGGCTCCATAACTGACAGAGATCATGTGTGAACGTGGGGGAAACATTACAAGCAGAACATACGTCAATAACTATCAAAACAATGACATTAAAACGTGTTTAGAGCAGTTACAAAACACCCAGGAGATGACCATGCTTCCGAGATAGTTGAAACTGTATCGGAAATAAGAAGCTGACCACGCTTCCGAGATAGTTGTAACTATCTTGGAAATGGAAGTTCCTCGACGCGACTTCTTTTCAACTTTTATCTTCAGTTACGGTTCGTAGGGGCAATAAATACCCCCTAGGACCATTACTGAGGAGGGCAGAGTATTTTAAAGCAGATTAAGCAGAGATACTTGAGCAATTTGATGAATTCTAAGCAAGAAAGAGAGAGTCTTCATCACGTGTAAGACTTTTTCAGAGTTCTTATGATTCCTTGAGATCTAAGCTTTGACTTGATCTTAAAAAGAGTGTTCATCGTACATCGATAATATATTCACTTCTTTTCTTACTTCTAAATGAAGCAAAAATTCCCAAATAGCCTTCATGATTCAATCTGAATATGTGATTTGGTGGTCCACGAGCTAACGCACCCCCGGTATAGGCAAAGATTCCACGCAAGCAGTGATCCAAAACGATCCTGCGGGTGTTTCTAAGGAGCATTGTAATTTGATTTTTTTATTATAAAGAGTAGTTTTATAAAGCACAAAACTTGCTCTTCTGTATTCATTGTAATCGATAAACAATTATAATAAATTCTACAACAAAACTTGTTCCTGACGCAAACACGCTGACGACCACAGTAGGAGCCAACGGTCTCACTGTCGAGACCGTCGTGTCGCAGACGATCAAGATATCAGTTGAGTCCACGGCCTAGTACGAATTCATTCAAGCGAAGTTTGAGGAGTATTTGTCATCCTCATCTGCAAAATCTTACTCGCCTCGCAAATGCAGGAAGATTTCATCTTCTACGAAAGTTTTCAAGTTTTTGACTCCGTCGAATACTACGGGTGAAGACTCTTGCCTGATTGTTGCTGAGAATTCTACTCACAACACCTCTGCTCACAATGACTCTTTTCCAATTAAGGAGTCATGGAATCAAAGCCCACTGACAAAGAGGGCTCGTCAGAGACAACGTCAGCGTCGTGCTCGTCAAATGGCTAAGTGTTTGTTGGAAATTTGCAGTAAAAATACAATGAAAGAAAAATTAACTTGTATTCCTCTCAAAATCAATTACAATTTGGATTCCGATTACAAAAGAGAGGAGAATGAATTTGATTCTCCCCTTTGTTTAAAACTGGGTTCTTCTTGGTAGCGATGGAGTGCCTCCTTCGATTGCTTGTGTCGAACTTGCTCTCCGTTGACGATCCGACCGTCTTGATTCACTGGAACGATTGACTTGTTTGATGAATTCGGTTTAGGACTCTTAACAAGTTTAATAAACTCAGAGCGAGTTGAAAACTCTGAAAAGAGTTGTTGAGAACCGAATAACTGACTTGGTGTAATTACCTTGCGTTGCTAGCTTAATTACCAATTCTTAAATGAGTTTCAGAACTCAGAGTGAGTTGAAACTCTGTAACAAAGTTGTTAGAACCGAAGATTCGGTTAATAGCTAAGTAAATCCGCCGTTGGTGAAGGGATTCTTCAAGATTTGATTAACTGATTGCTGATCAGTTCTTTGATCTCTTGGAAAATCGCCTTCTCTGTGCGGTTAATCTGCTGAGATTTGTTAACCTTATACGGTTTTGATGCCAGCACACGTCAACCTTCTACTCAATTGAGTAAGTCGGTTATTTATAGGGGGATTAGGGGTGTAACCAACCCCTAAATCTGCTCCTAAGTGGGCGAAAATCCCTTAGAACATGGGATAATGGTTTTGAGGCTGTTCGACTTGTGTTTGAACAAGTCAAAACGCCCTAGTTGGCGTTCTGGGCCTTAACTCTGTGTCCAAGGCTTGAGACGCAGAGTTAAATCTCTGTTAGAGGTTTGGGACGCACAGGCCGCTTCGTGGTCGAGTTCTCAACTCTGCGTCCTGGATTTGGGACGCAATGTTAAGTGTTTTGCTAAAGAACGCACAGTTCGTACGTTTTGTGTTTTAACTCTGCGTTGCAGAGTTGGATGTGTTGAGTTCTCAACTCTGCGTTCTGGATTTGGGATGCAGTGTTGAGTGTTTGCCAAAGAACGCACAGTTCGTGCGTTTTGTGTTTTAACTCTGCGTTGCAGGGTTGGATGTCTGTTGGAGAACACACAGTTCGTCTGTGTTTTGAATTTGAGAAACGCAGAGGTGAGTTCTGCGTTTGAGAGAGGTTGTTGATTTGTAACCTCGTCCATTATAACACTGCAAAGGCTACCGCTTATTGATCTTTGCCTGTTATAGGATATGAGAATCGTCAGATTGTAACTCTCACTGTTGATTGTGAAGGTAACTGAATAGAGTTTTCATCAGCTGTCGGAAGCGTCGTTGAATTGTAACTCTTCTCGATCTGTGTGAAAAGTCCTCTATTTGTAACCTTCATTTGTCGGCATGAAAGCTATTTGATTGTAGCTTTCATTGTTGAAGCTTGACGGGAATCAATCATCCATAGTGATTTTTAGACGAATATTTGCCCACAGCTCTCTACCAAGCAACTCACCAACTAAGTCCAACCTTTTATTTCTGAAATCATTACACTGCTCATCAGCATCTCTAATAGTTGCTAATATAATATTAGTCATGTTATTGTCACAGCCATCAAGATCAATCATCTCAGAGATGAGGTCGTATTTGTAGCGATTGTAGAGTTGCGGATGTAGTGATTAGAAAGTCGTCTGATTATAACTTCCATTGTCGGGGTTTAATAGGGATTAATTATCCATTGTGATTTTTAGACAGCCTACAGAATCCCCTCCAAAGTTTTCGAAAGTTCGCGGTTGACTGGGATGAATTTTCGGAATACTTTGGATCCCAAAATTTAGTAAATCGATTGCTCATTCCGTCTAATCTGAAGACATTGTCGAACTTGGTTGTTGGAATGCTGAAATCCTGTTTCCTCGAACCAAACAAGATAGCTTTTGAATCCTGATAACAACGAACTTAATCAAACAAACTAAAGCCTAAGTCATCGTCTGACTCGCCGACAGGTTCGTCCTTTTTCCCTTTTTTTTTCTTGGAGGCAAGAACAGTAGCGTTCTCAATAGATACAACCGAGATAACAGCAACAGCAAGGACGTTCTTGTAGGCATCGACGAACATGTGAAGCGCAGCTGCAAGAGTTGGGTAAGAGAGAGTGAAGGATAGCGAAGCGATCATAGACACACCATCTACAAACTTGTCAGCGAGATTGTCTTTCGTGAGATCGAGTAATTCTGGGCTTAAGACAGATCCATTGTCATAGACAGGGAGAGTCGCAAGCCCACATGTGAGGGGATTTTATCCTAACTGTGGTTAGGAGGACAACCTCAGAAGATTCTTACTCTATTTCTTTTCTTGATCAGCTCAACTCACTCTTTGTTGGAATGTTAAGCCACTTAGAAGAATGGTTTGCGCGCTGGGTCGAATCGGCTTTATGTTAAGCCACTTAGAAGAATGGTTTGCGCGCTGGGTCGAATCGGCTTTCGTGTTGCTGATTATAATCTACCTGTACCCATCCCATAGGCTCCACAGTGGAGTTGTCTGTTTCTTCTCGGCCTTAGTCACTTTGACAGCTGATATCGGACTCCCTCTATTTGTTTGGAACCATGTCTTGTCTTTAAACATAGAGGAATTCATTTGGTTGAGTTAGAACGCACAGGTAGATTTCCTGTGTTATCGAATTGAAACGCAGGGTTGAATCCTGTGTTCAGGAGTTTGATTAATGCAGATGCACAGGTAAATTTCTTTGTGCTAAAACATTAAAATGCAGGGTTGAACTCTGCGTTCGGAAGTTCAAGCAACGCTGACGCACATGCCACGTTCGGTGGGATTCTGGGCCTAGAATCTCGCCCCGATTTGACAGCTCATAGCTGTCTATAAATAGATCGCTAAGGATCAAATCAAAAGTCATCTGACTTTTTGCTTCCTCTTTTTCGAAAGATTTTTAACGAAGGCTCTTCGTTTACTCCGGCGAACCCTATTCATCGTCTCCGATCTTCATCTTCCATGGGTCCAAAAAAGAAGACTGTTACCCGTCCAAGATCGACTGCTGCCGCGACGCCGCCGTCAGAGGCTTCCCTCGTCGGTGGTAAGTACTAAACTCTACGAGTTCTTTGAAAACCCTAGATGGGTTCTTGTGAACGAGGAAGACGACTCGTTTTGATTCTGTAACGCAGAGTTGGGGCTTTGCGTTTTGAATCTGAAACTTTAGGGCCTGACCCTTGCGTTAACAAATTTTTAATGCCAGATCTGAACTGTGCGTTGGGAAATTTAACACAGAGTTCGATCTCTACGTTGACAAACTTTAACGCCAGGTCGTTACTGTGCGTTTGGACATTTAATGCAGAGTTCGACCTCTGCTTTAATAAACTTTTAACGCCAGATCTGAACTATGTGTTTGGAAGCTTGACGCAGAGTTCGACCTCTGCGTTAATAAGCTTTTGAACGCCTTATATGAACTGTGCATTTGGAAGCTTGACGCAGAGTTCGACCTCTGCGTTAATAAGCTTTTGAACGCCATATCTGAACTGTGCGCTTGAAAGCTTTCTCTCTTTCTAGAGATTTTATTAGAGTTCCCTCTTGTTTTTATTTCTTCATTGACTAACTGAGTACTTTTCTCTTTTTGCAGTGCCCTACTCCCACGAACCTCTTACTCTTCGCCACCATTTCGGGCGCGAAGGCGGCGTCGATTCCAATATGCAATTCAATCTGCGCCAGGAACTCCTAATTTTTCAGGATGCCGACAAGGATCATATTACCCTGATTTCCAATCCAAGCCCAGCTGTACTCAGGATTTTGGTGACGGACGCCAAATTCGAAACCGACTCTCGCAAAAAACTTACCAAACCAGCATTCCTGTTTGGCGACCATGTCGTCATCAAAAAAGAAATCGTGACTGGCGGCCACTATAAGTGGTTGAGGCAAATAGGAGATCGCCGCTTCTTTCTCCCTGATATGCATAGGATGTTTCCTATCGCTTATTATCAGTGTGCTTCTGTCCCTCAACATATGGATTGGGACCTTGTCCGGGAGCAAGATGGAGAAGCTATCGGGGTTTTGACCTACACAGGCGTACACACTGTAGGTTACAATCGACAAGTGTCCGCTTTGGAGCCCTGCTTGTTCTCACGGGGGTATCCTTTAGGAGAAACAGCTAGTACGGCCAATACTTTTATGCGGAGATTTCTGGCTGCCAAAGGAGAGTTCCCCTCCTCAGTATTCAGGGCTCCTGGATGGGTACACTCTACAGCATGGTGGACACGAATGACGGACTTTGTAATAACAGAGTTAGCGGGATCTTTAGCTCAGTCTGGGCTTGCTTGTCCTATAATAGCTACCAGATATGGTATTGACTACAACTATTACAATTTTTACACCGTTCTAGAGAACTATAACCCGGAGACGTGTACATTCTTCACACCAGTGGGGGAATTGGGGTTTGCCCTCCACGAAATGTATGACGTTTCGGGTCTTCCTTTTGGAGATTTGCCCTATGAAGAGTTCGTCCCAGGATCAAACGAGCTCCGGATTTTGAAGGAGAAGCATCCTGACGTCTATGACACTCTATGGGAGGTGATGTGTCATTTTCAAATCTGTGCTCAATTAACGGGGGCCCGAGGACGTGGTATAAAGCAGCTATCCTGGGCTGATTATCTATTCCAGAACTTATCTCACAAAACTGCTGATGTGTCTCGCCGGAACGCGAGTTCCCTTATTATGTCAACGAGGGATTGGAAGAGGACTTCCCTGCACAGACTGAGTTTGAAAGTTTCCATCACCAGGCTGCTGTGCCTATTTCTGACAGGGCCTTGTTGGCCGGCTTCCTCATGTTGTGGCTCAAGCGATGTATCGTCCCTACAAGGCCCATAGATGCTATGATGATAGAGGTAGTCTACCCGGCTGTCCTCTTAGCTTACGGGAGACCTGTGAACTTTCTTTCAACTATGACTTGCTGTTTGCAGCATGGTTTGAGGGAGTTGTGTCTCGAATTCATTCAGGTGAAGGAGGTAGAATCTGAAGGAAAGAAGAGTCTGGTGATACCAAATCCTCGAGTTCCTCTGCCATATACCTATTTGATGGCATGGTACGTATCTCATTGCCCTCTTTTGATGAGTGCCCCATCTCCATCGGATGAGGGGTTCACCCCTTTTGTGCAGCGATTGGAAGAAGCTTCCTAGGAAGGCACGTATGTCATGAGGGTCCGTCAAATTTTGTCGAGAGACCTCAATTATCAACTATTTTGCTGTTTCCCAGACTTTGAAGGCGGTGACTATGGGCAAGTGTTCCAAGATACGGTTGGTTCAGATGGTTTTACTCGCTTAGATGGAGGGGTCTTCCACTAGCTCTTGAACATTAGACCAGGTTATCTCCTCTTTAGGCAAAATGACAAATGCATAATTGAGTCGTATCAACCGTATCGGTTTGCTCGTTAGTTCGGGTACGACCAATTATATGTTGGGAATCCCCGGAGTCACCTTGCAATTGTTGGTAACATATACGAAGGAGCTAGGGCCTGGTACTACTCTACTGCAGGCTGCACTGGAGCTACCTTTAGGTTACCCCACAAGACGCCCAATTCTCTTTCATCTATAGCTTTTTGTAACTGGTATCATACAGCCTCCAAGATACCTGATTACAGGTTGAATTTGTCGGGGCTACGGGAAATTAGGAAGATGTACTCGTCCAGAAGAGGGGCCCGGGTATCTCGTCTGAAGGGAATCAATGAGTTCTTATCCTTCGAAGGTGAGACTGAAGGAGGAGGAGGAGAGGGAGATCTGGGGCCGGAGAGTGATCCAATAGCGAGCCCTAAGGCTGCTGATACTTCAAGAACCAAGGCAGCTGGAAAGAGGGTTCTTACCGAAGCCGAAGAAGTTTAGTACGAGAAACGTACTCGCAAGAAACTGCTAGTAGACCCTCCTGCTGAGAAGTTGATGACGAACGCTTTTAAATCTGCCGGTAGAGAGGAAGAACAAGAACCAGCTGCTGCAAGTCATCACGATCCCACAGGTCCTCATTCTGGGGGCGCTACATTTTCTGAAGAATTCTCTTCTCAATGTCCTTTGGACCCGGAAGAGGGTGGAAATGAATCCCTGATTGGGGATATGGAGGCCTCTCCTGACATTTCACCTTTTCCAGAGCTAGCTCCAGGTGTTACTCCTTCCTCTGCTGGGGCACTGCCTACAACGTCTCCATCTGAAGGGGTTAAACTGTCTACAGGCGAACTGGTGACAGATGAACTTGCAAATGTTAATGAGAGTCAGTCTCCCACTTCCTCTGCACTATTGCCACACTCAGAGGCTGTTATTCCTAGTCCAACGACTGGCCGAATGACTAAAGTGGATATGACTGCGAGTTCTTCGGGACTTCCAGCTGCAGACGATGAAGAACCGTTAGACTATGGGAGCTCATCTCACCATGATGATGTTGATGAGGATGAAAGTGATGGTGATGATTCCGCTGGCTGGGCTGATCCGCCACCACCCTCTTCTGACAAGGCGTTCAGTTATCTTCCTTTTTACCCTACTGGTAGAAATTACACACTCTGATTTTTCTGGTGTTTCTTTCTTTTATACTGACTGTTCTTTTGTGTAGGTTCTCCAACTCATGGGGTTGCTTATGCATCATCGTCTCTCAACCCACAAGCAGCAGATATCTCTCCCTCTGAATCGATGCCGGTGACGACAAGTTCTTTGCCAGAAGAACCTCTTTCGCTAACGATTCCCCTAATCGATGCCGGTGACGACAAGTTCTTTGCCAGAAGAACCTCTTTCGCTAACGATTCCCCTCAAATCTGTGGGGACAGAGATTGTGTTGAGCTCAGAAGAACCTCTTTCGCTAACGATTCCCCTCAAATCTGTGGGGACAGAGATTGTGTTGAGCTCAGCCCGAACAGGGGCGCTTATGGCTCTACCCTCCAGTCCTTCACAATTGGACATAACAATGGCTTCTCCGGCTTCTTCCCGATCATCACCCACTATTCTTGCACCAGGGTCTATGATTTTAGGCCCCCCATCGACATCTCCGATGAAGTCTCTAAGTCCAGTGGTCATCCCTTCCATTCTAAAAGTTCTTATACGACCGTTGGAAGATATGATGAAGATAGCGATTGAGGAGATCAGTGCCGGATGAGCTTCATTTGATTTTTTCAAACTAATACTCATGAATTCTTTGAACAGCATTCGATATGTGGATGACGCTCGATTGTTCCAGCATTGCTCTGAAGGCATCTCTCGGTTGGAAAAAGATCTGAGGGCTTTGGAAGAATTGCACCGAGCTGATCTTGCTGCCCAGGCTGCGTTAGTCTTTGATAATCTTCGAGCTGAAGCGGCCCGCCAATACGAAACTTTTCAAGAAGCCATCACTGAAAGGGAGCTTGAAATTGCATCCTTACAGGGGCAATGCATGCAGAAGCAACATG